TTCACTTTGTTTTCTCTCCTGCTGCTCAGGATGACGGTGCCGTCTGTCCGTCTGTCCGTCTGTCTGTCTGCACCGTCACAGAGAAACAATAATAATAATAATAATAATAATAATGATGATGATAAGAATCATTATTATAATAAATAAAAATAGAAATAAATAATTATTTATTTAAAATTATTATTTTAATAATTATTGTTTAAACCTCCTGAACTCCTGAGGCAGTGATGTCTCCCTCCGTGGTCGTGACCCGAGGCGTTCGAGTCATTAAACCAGCAGAGCGTTGTGGTTAATTAAAGGTTACGTCGATACAACAAAGAGGCCTCAGAGCGAGCAGCCTCCACCATGACGCCCCTGCAGCAGAGAGAAGATATCAGATATGACCAAACTTCAGACACATCCAGGAAACTTACCCGTGTTTACGGCGAGGAGAGGACCAAAAATCAACAATTTAACTGACCGGGATTTTCATGGAGTTCAGGACCGTCACTGTGGTCGTTACTGTCATACAGTAACTACGGTAAACATGTGTGCAGTAACACAGATGTACCTGCCCACCATCAACACGCACACACACACACACACACACACACACACACACACACACACACACACACACACACACACAGAAATAAGGGAGTGTGTGCAGAAAGAAGCTCTATAACTCAGGTAAGAGTGGGATGTAAATGTGAGTGTGTGAAAAATGAGCGAGCAGTTAGAGCTGAAATATGGACGTCCTCAGATCCGTATATTTGTCTGCACACTGAATCATTTAATCTCAGAGTGAAGATCCTTTACAGGTGAATTTATTCTGTGATTAATCTGGAACAGCAGAAAAATGTTGTTCATGAATTTTTCTGAACGTTGAGTTGAGTGTGAGGAGAAAACTGGAGCTGTGATGTGAAATGGAGTCATTAATATCAGCACTAACATTAACAAAGACTGAAGCTGTCTGCAGCTGCATTCACCTGTAATCACTCAGATCTGTTTCACACACAAGGATAAACGTTTCCTGCAGGTATGAAGCAGAAAGATATTTCACTTCCATCCAATCATGTTTTTAAAAAAGCAGCCGAGCTAATTGAAGAGACGACATTAAACTCTGTGGAAAAGGACCGGCTGCAGAGATGTGTATGTGTGGGGGAATAATTATCAGTATAGAGCGTATTAAAAGAGCAGGATTTAAAGAGCGGCGTGCTGCTGCAGACTCGCTCGCTCTCTGATGTATGGCTGCACAAATTTCATTACGGGTGAGAACGGCCGCGCTAAAGCCCGAAATATCAGCAGTGTTTTCTTAATTTGTCAGGTAATCTGTTACAGAGTGATTGAAGAAAGAGCTCATGTAATTGGAAAGAGTCAATCTCAGAGGGGAGAGGAAGGGGGAGGAGAGAGAGAGAGAGAGGGGGAGGTGCAGAGAGGGAGGACGCAAAAAAAGAGGCGGTGAGAGCAGCAGAGAGAGAGATGAACGAGAAAGAGAGGACGAGAGAAAGAAGAGAAGATGAACGAGAAAGAGAGGAAGAGAGAAAGAAGAGAAGATGAACGAGGAAGAGAGGAAGAAGAGAAGATGAACAAGAAAGAGAGGAAGAGAGAAAGAAGAGAAGATGAACGAGAAAGAGAGGAAGAACATTAAATGATGAAATCCTGTCACTGTTACGACTCCGTTCTTGTCTGTTAGGAAAGTTTCTACGTTTTTTTTTTTTCATTTACTTCCTGACTTTCTGGCCCGAGGCCTGGGGTGTCAGAACTGAGCATGCTCAGAACTATTAAGCCTGTTTTTTTACCCCCGACTTCCACCTTCATCCTGATCGTCTCCTAAAAGGTCGTATCCTCCGATCGTAGCTGATCGTAACCATTCAAGTTAACGTGTCAATTTACACCGACTTCTTTCCGTTCCTCTGCGGATCGCCGGACTCCTCAGCTGATCACAAGAGTTCTATTTTTTCTGGACGCCGGAGCATGGCGGATAAATTCAGCACAGATTAACCCGTGCTGGAAAGGAAGTCGGCACAGACACAAAATAAAACATCCGGCTTCTTTTCAAAATAAAACACTCCGTGTTTCAGGAGGATCGTATTTCACACCATGCAAACGGGCGGAGACGAACAAGTGAAAGGTTTTTAGACGTCATTTCACCCCGATGACACCATGGATGAGGAGATGCTGATTCTAGAAGTCTAGAAGTAGATTTCCTCCTCTGGAAGGACACAATCTACTGCTTATATGTCTATGTGTCTGTCTTTAGAGAGACAACTCGTTATCGTGAGATTGAACGTGAATCTGAAGGTTCTTGTGAGTTCTCAGATTACCGCTGTCTGTAATCTGCCATGAAATTCGCCTCACCAACAGATCTGGTAGGAATTGGCGGACGGTGAAAACCGCCGCAGTTCTGGATCAGAGCCGTTTGGGATGCGGTGGAAATTTAGGGTTAGTTGGATGAAGGTGTAAAAATGTCCTGGACTGCTGTGTGGACGTGGTCTCTCTCAGGTCTCTGGGTCTTCCAACACTGTCAGGAAGCTGAGATGGTGGTCTGCAGAGTCCGCCTCAGTCCCTGAACTGGGCCTGACTGGGCCGTCTGTGGTGGATTTAGAAGGTCAGACTGGGTGGGTTGAAGCTGAAAGTTGCAGAAATTCGGAGCCTGAGTGGAGAAGTTGTGAAACTCTTCTTTTTGTTTGTCTGCTGCCTTCCTGAGGTGAAACGACAGCTGTTTTGCATCTCATTCTGGGTAATGCTGCCGTCTGGATGCTGCTGATTGTAATCACGAGGCTGATGACGCTGGAGGCCTTTTTCTGCCGCTGACTTCAGGGGATCTTTGAGCCAGCAGGAGGCTGAAACCGTCAAGTGCTTTAACCAACAATCAGACGCAGAGCGAGCAGAAACACTGGCAGAGCTCGTCTCAGATTTATGATTAGAAAACAGCTGCTGAATAGAGGGAATAAAACCGCACAACACCGACTCTCAGAGTGCAGAAACCTGTTTGTTTGTCAGTGTCCATTAATTTAAATCACCTGTGGAAACATATTTTTATGATGTGGAGACTTTTTCTCTGTTTCTGACTCAGAAATCTGCCGTCTGTCTGCATCTTAAATAACGTTTACAGATGTTTGAGACGAACCGAAGACTCTGCTCCTCCTTTAACAGTCAAATATGAAGTCTGCGTCAATAAAGAGGAAACAGAATAAAAACACTGAACATTTTCACCGCTCAGAGAAACGAAGGGAAGCACAGAAACAAGTTTTTTATACCAAAGAGTCAAAAATACAAATGAATAAAAAGGTCAAATAAAAACCACATTAGAGAAGAAGCTGAACTCTCCGCCTGCTGTCCCACCCTCACGTCTCTAAGAGGAACTTTAAACCGTCCCGTAAACTCAGTCCGACTCCACCAACCAGAGTCTCAGAGGAAACTCAGACCAGCGTCTGTCTGTCTGTCTGTCTGTCTGTCTGTCTGTCACCTCCAGGGTTTCTTTACAGCAAATCCTCCAAATGAGGAAAATGTGATTTATGAAAACATGAAATCATTTATAATCTGGAGCTCGTCGTCCGTTTTACTGAGAAACATAAAGAAATAATAATAATGATAATAATGATAAAGACACAGACTTGGTTACTCTGTCCTGTCTGTTGATGTTCAGACTGAATCTGCATCACAGACCCTCTAACGGTCACAGACCCTCTAACGGTCACAGACCCTCTAACGGTCACAGACCCTCTAACGGTCACAGACCCTCGATCTCGATGGTCACAGACCCTCTATGGTCACAGACCCTCTAACGGTCACAGACCCTCGATCTCGATGGTCACAGACCCTCGATGGTCACAGACCCTCTAACGGTCACAGACCCTCGATCTCGATGGTCACAGACCCTCGATGGTCACAGACCCTCTAACGGTCACAGACCCTCGATCTCGATGGTCACAGACCCTCGATGGTCACAGACCCTCGATGGTCACAGACCCTCGATGGTCACAGACCCTCTAACGGTCACAGACCCTCGATGGTCACAGACCCTCGATGGTCACAGACCCTCTAACGGTCACAGACCCTCGATGGTCACAGACCCTCAAACAGTCACAGACCCTCGATGGTCACAGACCCTCTAACGGTCACAGACCCTCTATGGTCACAGACCCTCGATCTCGATGGTCACAGACCCTTGATGGTCACAGACCCTCTAACGGTCACAGACCCTCTAACGGTCACAGACCCTCGATGGTCACAGACCCTCGATGGTCACAGACCCTCTAACGGTCACAGACCCTCTATGGTCACAGACCCTCGATCTCGATGGTCACAGACCCTCTAATGGTCACAGACCCTCTAACGGTCACAGACCCTCTAACGGTCACAGACCCTCCATGGTCACAGACCCTCTAACGGTCACAGACCCTCTAATGGTCACAGAGCCTCGATGGTCACAGACCCTCTAACGGTCACAGACCCTTGATGGTCACAGACCCTCTATGGTCACAGACCCTCTAATGGTCACAGACCCTCTATGGTCACAGACCCTCTAATGGTCACAGACCCTCTAACGGTCACAGACCCTCGATGGTCACAGACCTTCTAACGGTCACAGACCCTCTATGGTCACAGACCCTCAAACGGTCACAGACCCTTGATGGTCACAGACCCTCTATGGTCACAGACCCTCGATCTCGATGGTCACAGACCCTTGATGGTCACAGACCCTCTAACGGTCACAGACCCTCTAACGGTCACAGACCCTCGATGGTCACAGACCCTCGATGGTCACAGACCCTCTAACGGTCACAGACCCTCTATGGTCACAGACCCTCGATCTCGATGGTCACAGACCCTCGATGGTCACAGACCCTCTAACGGTCACAGACCCTCTAACGGTCACAGACCCTCGATGGTCACAGACCCTCGATCTCGATGGTCACAGACCCTCTAATGGTCACAGACCCTCTAACGGTCACAGACCCTCTAACGGTCACAGACCCTCAATGGTCACAGACCCTCTAACGGTCACAGACCCTCTAATGGTCACAGAGCCTCGATGGTCACAGACCCTCTAACGGTCACAGACCCTTGATGGTCACAGACCCTCTAACGGTCACAGACCCTCTAACGGTCACAGACCCTCAATGGTCACAGACCCTCTAATGGTCACAGACCCTCTAACGGTCACAGACCCTCTAACGGTCACAGACCCTCTCACGGTCACAGACCCTCTATGGTCACAGACCCTCTAATGGTCACAGACCCTCTAATGGTCACAGACCCTCTAACGGTCACAGACCCTCTAATGGTCACAGACCCTCTAACGGTCACAGACCCTCGATGGTCACAGACCTTCTAACGGTCACAGACCCTCTATGGTCACAGACCCTCTAATGGTCACAGACCCTCTAATGGTCACAGACCCTCTAACGGTCACAGACCCTCTAATGGTCACAGACCCTCTAACGGTCACAGACCCTCGATGGTCACAGACCTTCTAACGGTCACAGACCCTCTATGGTCACAGACCCTCTAATGGTCACAGACCCTCTTAAGGTTACAGACCCTCGATGGTCACAGACCCTCTAACGGTCACAGACCCTCTAACGGTCACAGACCCTCTAACGGTCACAGACCCTCTAACGGTCACAGACCCTCTATGGTCACAGACCCTCGATGGTCACAGACCCTCTCACGGTCACAGACCCTCTATGGTCACAGACCCTCTAACGGTCACAGACCCTCTAACGGTCACAGACCCTCAGTGCAGCGGTCTGTACCAGGACAGGGCGGCCCGCTGTCACAGACAGTACAGACGGAGCGTTTGCCGTCAGCCTCAGGACTGATGGCGTTTCGCTCGTGTTGATAATAAAGTGAAACTCTTGACTGTATGAAGTCGGACTGATTCACTCACAGATGATATTTATCATAAACCAGGAGACAGAAACACGTGTGGTTATCATTTCTCACTTTTTCTGAGGCTGCAGAGAATCTGAGTCATGAAATTAGAGCCAAATAAATCCGGTCTGAAATCTGGAGACTAACGAACGCAGATGGACTGAATAAACGCGTCTGACGGGCTGCTGCGGTTCTGAACGAGACGCTGACTGCAGCTTTACGCCGGACTGTAAATGATGGAGTTTGACCTTCAGAGAAAGAGAATCAGCCGTGATTTCTGCAGCATTTCCACAATCCGCAGCGTGAAAGTGAGTCACATGTTGTAAACGTGCAGACTTGAAGTCGTGCAGTTTGTTTCTTGGCAGTAAAACGTGAAGTTAACACTGGTGGGGGCGTTCACTGACACACTAACACTCTCTCTGGCGTGCAAACAGACAGTCTTCATACATCTCTCAGGGCTTAATAGGTTGTGTCTGTCATCTGAGTGCATGATGCAGCGGTGCCACTGTGATACGTTGCTATGGAAACATAGTGGCATATCTCTTGCTGTGGCGCTCGCTGCATTTCATCATACTGGCTCCAATAATAAGCATAATAATGTGGGTGGTGAGAGCGAGTTTTAAAAGGGATCAGATCTGCCTTAAATTGATGTCAGTGGGATCATGATGGGAGTGACGGCATCTCTGTGAATCTGAATAAACGTCAGTGTGTGGAAATAAAGCCGAGAGGAGAGAGAGGAGGGTGTGCGTGTGTGTGTGTGTGTGTGTGTGTGTGTGTGTGTGCGTGTGTGTGTCTCCCTCTGCAGCTTATTGGCCTTGGCCACCCTGTAATGTGTGGAGCCTGCTCTGCCACAATTCCTCTGCTCTGGGCTGACTGCGTATCGATCGCTTGCTGGTGTGTATTATACTGAAGGAAGGTGTCAAGGAGAGGGGTGGGGGGTGTGTGTGTGTGGGTGAGGGGGTGGGTGAGACACAGAGGGAGGGTTAGGGGGAGGAAATATACTGACAGCTCACTCATATGTTCAGCAGTAAGACTCCCGGAGCTCCAGAGCAAAGACTTCAGACCTGAAACTGGATCATGTTTCTGCAGATCCACCTTCCAGTCCAGTCAACAAACTACAAACTACAGACTACAAACTACAAACAACAAACTACAAACTACAAACTACAAAATACAAACTACAAAATACAAAATACAAACTACAAACTACAAACTACAAAATACAAACTACAAAATACAAACTACAAAATACAAACTACAAACTGCAAAATACAAACTACAAACTACAGACTACACCATCAGGATCAATAATCAAACTACACACAATAATAATCAATGCTCAGACCCTGAGCTCATATATTTATCCTTCCTCCTTCAGTCTTCCCTTAGGTCCTCACATTCAGAGTTCATATATATAAATATTGATTATCTATTGGAGCTGATAAGTCTGTATTTCCACGATCACAGCAGACCGTCCTCATCAGTTTTTGAGATTTTCCTCTTTTTCATAAAAGGAAATGAGGTGAGGTGATGATGCAGCACACACACACACACACACACACACACACACACACACACACACACACACACACACACACACACACACACACACACACACACACACACACACTGTAAACTGCTAGAACTCCTTTAGTTGTTTACGTGAATCAGCTGATTGATCATAAAAGGATCATTATTATTATATTGTGTTTAGGGCTGAAACGATTACTCGAGTAACTCGAGTAACTCGATTAATAAAATTCCTCGAGGCAAATTATATGCCTCGAGGAATCGTTTAAATCCGGAACCATGTGCAGCGCACGGTGTTTGACACGGACGGTTATTTCTGTTGCGCAGAAGCGTGCTCTTTCCGCTCCTTCCGCTGCCGCGCGTTTGGTTCAATCATGGAGGGAAACGAGGACAGACAGAAGCTGTGTCCGAAATGGCATACTGCCTGCTATCTACTTACCTACTCAAGCAGTAGCTACTGCCTACTGACTACTCAAAGATGATTTGAGTATGCCGCGGCTGCCCGAGCGTTTACACACGTACATACTAAATACCCCAGAATGCATTTCGTGCCGGCCGGACGCAGCGCCGGGAAAATTTAAATAGTCCTACCACAAGCTACATAGAACGACTGCATACCGGACAAATTATATAAATTCATTCAATAATAATATTTTTTCTAGCGAGAAAGTAAGTGTTTACATCACGATTATGAGCCCAGTTGTTTGAAATAGTGGCTGTTTGTAAATTTGTCTCGGCGTTTTCGGAGACCGAAGCGTCAACTTGGTCGGTGTTTGCGTCTATTTACCGTAAACACCGGGCAGCAGCAGCTCCCCCTTCACGTTTCCAAATTATTGCGAAGTGTTTTCATAATCAACATCTACACGACACAAACCGGGCGGCAGTGGATGAAAAAAATCACACAAACATCCGTGTATCCATGGTGATAATGCTATACACCACCTGCTAGGCGTGTGATAAGCAGCAGAGGGCTGCAAAATGACCAACACACAACAACATGTAAATAAAAATGTAACACTTTTATATATTGAATAAATGTACATTTGCTTGTCAAATTATGTTAGTATCCAAGAATTATATTATTTCAGCCTATTAATTAAACAAGTAAAATTAGATCCAAAGCCTGGAAATAGTTGTGACTGGTTTAGTGAAAACTGCAAAGATCATTACCATAGCAATTAAAAGACCATCTGCAGACCTTGCCTTCAGTAGTTTCATGTGAACTACATGGTAAAATGTAAAACTTTTGGTTCCTGATTTATGCAGTAAAAATATTCATTTGAAAGACCTGGCCTATTTCAGTTTTGTGTGTTACTGATGGTTTTTAATGAGGCAAACGTGATTCAATGCAAAGTATTACAGTGAGAGCAAAACATTTCTTATCCGATTACTCGATTAATCGACAGATTAATCGATAGAGTACTCGATTACTAAAATAATCGATAGCTGCAGCCCTAATTGTGTTCTTATTTCTCGGTTGTTGTTTGTTGATTTTAGACGTTGACTCTGTTTGTGTGTCGGAGCTGAAATGACCTTTTATCCCCTCAGAGATGAAGATTCATCAGATCCACTCAAATACACGACCAGGAGAAAGTGTGTTTATACCGCAGACTGTACAAACACGGACGACGCGGCTCATCGTACAAAGGTGAAGACAAATTTCTCCATTTCCTGAAACCGGCATGTGCGCAGTACAATCGGCGTGAAGAGTCGCTGTGATCTACCCGACCTTCGTCCTCCCATTGGCTGTATAAGGTGTCAATCATAGAAAACATGAACCCCCTAATAACTTTTAAAAATGGAGCTGTACAGAAAAAAGAGGACTTGAGCACAAACCAGTCTGACAGTAACTACATGTCAACATCACAACCAGGGGGGAGAAACATTTATATTCTGTGTCATTCATTTAGAAAGTTTGTCCACAGCTCCATAAGGAGGCGGGGTTTATGACCTATACTGCAGCCAGTCACCAGGGGGCGCTGTTCTCAGAGAGAGGAGGCAGACGGCGTCTAGATACAGTCTCTGGTTTGTACAGAGAGTGGTCGAGTTTCCTGTTCTGGAGCTCCACCGTGGTCCTCCTCTCCACGCAGAGCTGCAGAGCTGCAGAGCTGCAGAGCTGCAGTCAGTCGTAGGTGGTGTGTTTGAGCGTCCCCGTGCAGCAGCAGCAGCAGCAGCAGCAGCAGCAGCAGCAGCAGCAGCAGCAGGTCTGATTCATGGCGGCCCGCTCTGCTCTCCATCACGTTAATAAATGGCTCAGGGGAGTCGGGAACATTTCGCTGCTACAGAGGAACTGATCAGAACGGGGACATTTCAGCTCTCTGTCTCTGCCACTCCTTTTACCTCGCCCGCTTCCTTTTGTCTCTCCCCCTCTCTTCTCTCCCCCTCCTCGTCTGTGTGTGTGTGTGTGTGTGTGTGTGTGTGTGTGTGTGTGTGTGTGTGCGTGCGCCTTAAACAGGATAGATACTCTGGCTGCTGTAAAGGATGGCTACATCACAGGGCCAACTGGCCTCACTCCTTCATCAGCGACACTGACCTTCTGCTTGTCACCGCTTAAGCGCCCGTCACATCCACTCTACAGGCTCATCGGCCACCGCCACGGGGGAAAGCTAAAGAGCCGCCGCCTTAATCCAATCCAGCGGCTGAGAGCTGCGTAAACAGCCAGTGCTTTATGTACTGAGGAGGACGCCGTCGTCTGTGTTCAGGTCGCCATTTAACGGGGAGGGGGGACTGTGACGGGGTCGGGCTGTTTTCTAATTACGATACCATCAAATATTATACAGAACTATAAAACACAATACTGTTCTATACTATAATAAACAATATTATTCAGTCCTTAACTGATGAAAATCAATCATCTGATCAGCATCTGGGTGATCAATGTTCGGGGCCAGGGTCTGGGGGTCCCACATGCAGGTGATGGAGGTCTGGGTGTAGTCTTTGCAGAAGGTTCTGGAGGCCCGTCTGCTCCCTGTGGCCTCTGCCCACCCTGAACCCCCCACTGACGAGTTTTTGGATATTTACTGTGGATAATCAATGATCAGCTGTTCAGATAATAACAGTTTAAACCTTATTTAATGATCAGCTGATGTTGTTGTTGTTCCGGTCAGATATGAACAGGCTCAGGTTTAACTAAAGATGTCGATTCTTTAATCTTCAGACCTTCTTGTTTCAGGATTTCGACTCTCGGCGCTCGAGCTGCTGCTGCTCCGTGAAACTTTAACCTTGTGCCGTCAGAGCGTTAAAAAAAGAGAAAGATGGCGGCGTTTTAACGACTCCTTCACTTACAGTGGCAGGGCGACCCCGGCTCCCAAACACTTACTGACCTAAAGATGCAGTGACACAAAAAGCTCAAAGATAATTAAATATTGATTTTTGTTTTCTAATCCTATATCAAAATTGTCCTGAGACTCCCAGCGGTACTTTTCACACTCTGTAAAAGAGGGGGAAAACTCTGGATTGGCGGTTAACCTCTATTTCATGTAAGGGGGGTGGGTTGTGGGGGTGATGGGATGGGGGTTGTTGCCATACCGATACGTTCTTGGCTCCAGCCTTGAACCCGGCCCGCACCATTACTCTCCTGCTGCTGATGACACTGATCCCCTCTCTAATCTTTCTCCTGGAGCTCGGCGTGGCGGGCTGCCTCTGCCTCCTCCTCCTCCGCCACATGCCCGATTGATATTCTCCTCACCCCCCACCCCCCCACCTTGAATTTACACCCCCCTTCTTCCTTCACCGGAATCCACTCCCTTATTTTTTTTTACCACCAGACCTGATATCTCGCTCCATCTCTCTGCGAGCACAGAGGCAGAACTCTGAGGTGACGGGACATCTCTCCGAGAGCTGCAGCCTCTCAAATCACGACCGGTACACACAATCAACAACAACAACACGCAGAAAACAACAACAACAAATAACAAAACCAACAACAACAACTAATACAAATACTACACCAACAACAACACACAGAAAACAACAACAACAAATAATAAAACCAACAACAACAACAACTAATACGAATACTACACCAACAACAAAATCAGAAAACAACAACAAATGATAAAACCAACAACAACAACTAATACAAATACTACACCAACAACAACAAGCAGAAAACAACAACAAATAACAAAACCAACAACAACAACTAATACAAATACTACACTAACAACAAACTCAGAAAACAACAACAAATAATAAAAACAACAACAACAACTAATACAAATACTACACCAACAACAACAACTAATACAAATACTACACTAACAACAACACGCAGAAAACAACAACAAATACAACAACGACCACAAAACAACAAAAAACAACAATTACAACAACAGCATCAACAAAAGAAAAATACAAAAACAACAACAAATACAACAAGAACAAAATCAACAACCACAAAAACAACAACATCAACAACAAATACAAAACCAAAAAACCACAATAGAAACGACAACAACACAACAAACTACAAAACCAACAACATAAAAAAATAGTACGAACAACAGACAACAAAAACAACAAACAACAAAACCAACAACAACAAAATAGTGAACGAACAACAAACCAGCAGAATAAAAAAATACAAAACAACAACAAACCAACAAAACAGCAAAAATCAAGCTAACAACAAAAAACAATAAAAACAATGGCAATAAAACAACAACAACAAAAGTTAAACCAACAATTAAAAACAACAACAAATACAAAACCAACAACAATAACTAATACAAATACTACACCAAAAACAAACTCAGAAAACAACAACAAATACAACAACAACCACAAAACAACAACAACAAAGACAAAACCAACAACAAAACAACAAAAATCTAAATAAATAAACTTTAAAAAACTATTTTTTTTGTTTTGCTTGTAAATTTCTGTCAGCAGGTTTTTTTTCAGTTGATCATGTTTCAAATTTCTGCCTGAAAAAAATGAAAACAGCAAACCTACATCTTCACACTCACACACACACACATGCATCCATGCACGCACACACACACACACTCACACCTACAGATTGATGCACATACAGACGGAGTGTGGCCTGCAGGGGGCAGCAGTGACCAGCTGTGCCTCTTCCTCCTCCATGCTGCCTCTGCATTAACTTTTTATCCCCTCCATCATGCACGCAGACAAACAAACACTCCTCTGGGGTTGTGGGCCAATAAAAAGTGATCTTATTAGCCCCACCAGGCTGGCTGCACCCCCCACCCCCCTGGAACATACAACACAACCTGCCGTCACCTCAGCCGCCAACACTCCCCCCGACACAAACACTCACTTCTTCACCTGCACCACGCCGAGTGTTCAGCGTCTCCTGATCCGTCACTTCATTAGATAACACACACCCACACACACACACACACACACCTGAGCAGATAACCCGGTAAAAACAGAGAGGTTGAACTCTTCTCACCTGTGGGTTAGAGATCCTCAGGTGAGTCTCAGTCGCTGCTGTGACCTCCTCCTTTGTGAATCCAGCGAACGGAGGCGAGGCTGAATGAGGACGCACCAAACCGGCGCTCCTCTGACTTTTAAACGTGTCCAGACATGACAAGTTTATTTTCTTTGTCGTGTTTTTAAGCAGATGTTTATTCAAGGTGGCGTCCTCGAGCACGCTCATGTTTTATTTAAAAAAAGGAGCTGAATTTCCTCCGAACTCGTCCAAAAAGGCGCTCTGACCAGCTCCAAGGTGAGGAGGAGGAGGAGGAGGAGGAGGAGGAGGAGGATGACTGCAGAGCGGCTCTTATCAGGAGGCTGTGCAGGTCCATCCATCAACGCCTGTTAGTGTTTCAATAACAGCTGACCTGCTGAAAACTTCATCACCTCGGTGAATGAGTCTGTTTTCAGCTCTGTCAAACTCCTCAGAGTCTGTAATGATTTTAGAGAAACGCTGAGTCCGTGTAGAAACCTGTCCTCACCGTCTGACTCCCATCAGCCTCCCTGTTTTCTAACTTTTACATGAAAATCATCTTTAATTTCTCTTGAACTCTGAGTAAATCTCTGTTGAGTGATGTTTCTGTAGGATCTATTCAGAGAGCATCCTTCACTCTCCAGCTGCAGACGGCGTGTTGTTTCTATAGAACCAGCAGACCTACCATGGAGCGTTAATTCTGTTTGTTACCTGCTGCTGTTACCTGAGCCGTCATTACTCCTCTGAGCTGCAGCGTGTGCTGATGGGATCATCATATGAAGCCCCAGGAAACACTGAGAGGGAGTGAAGAGAGAGAGAGAGAGAGAGATTATCGAGGCCGCCGCCGTGTAAAACGCTCCTCAGCACTAAAAATAGACGAGACTGTGAGCAGGAAAAATGTCATCGATGGAGATTTTTCTTCCTCACACTTAAAAAAACAAAAACACAGACAGCAGGTCGATTTAGTCCTGTTCAGGGGCGTGTCCGGACTTTTTAGCTCAGGTGTCCAAACTGATGGAGGCGGAGAAATCCGTGTGAACGACCACGGACGAAAAAAGGTCATAAACCTCAGAGTCTTGACTTCTAACAGAGCGAATTAACAGAGACGGGGGTCTGCGTGAAATCATGACACTTCACTGGATCTCTGAATCATGTCGTTTTATTTGATGTTCTGTTTGTTTGTTTTTAGTCATTTCGATTATTTTTGTAAAGTTCAGACTGAAGATGTAAATGAGCTTCAGAGCGAACGGATTTATGTATGAACCTAAAACAGTAAAGGTTATGATAATAATAATAATAATAATAATTATTATTATTATAAAGATCAAGATGATAATAATAACAATGATAATAGTAATAATAATTATCATTATAATTATTATAATAATTATTATAATAATTATAATAATAATAATAAAGATCAAGATGATGATGATAATAATAATAATAATAATAATAATAATAATAATAATAATAATAATAATAATAGCTTCTGCACATACATACTGCTTCATTATTTCAGGGCTCAGAATGATTTTCAGTGTGTGTGTGTGTGTGTGTGTGTGTGTGTGTGTGTGTGTGTGTGTGTGTGTGTGTGTGTGTGTGTGTGTGTTTTCTCCTGAGTTCGACTCTTCAAAGATATTTTACTGTTTTCGTCAGATTCAGTTCAAATCTTCAGTTTCAGTAAAATCGTGACGTTTTCTGATCGGTGAAAATTTCCAACATGAAATCTTTTTTTTTTATCTGAGAGGATTAAAAAACCAAAAGTTCATGTTGGACTGAGCGCGTGCAGAAGAGACAGAAGAGACAGAGGAGACAGATGAGACAGAAGAGACAGACTTTAAGATTGTCAAAGTTAAAATCAAATTAAATCCAAAGTTTCGTGGGTTTAGGACAGGAGTCTGGGTTTACAGCGATGGAGTCTGTGGACTAAAACTCTTTTTCCTGATCGGCTCTGATTCAGTTTTTTGAAGGATTAAAGCTGAAGTTCTGGTCCTGGAGTCTCTGTACGGGGCATGAGTAAAAACCCTCAGACCCACCAGCGCCCCTCAGAGTTGTGAAGTGATATCTGTAAAGGACTCTGATGATTCAGGTTATTGAGCTTCATGAACCAAATATCGTTTCTTCTTGGTTTTAAAACGCGGCCCGCCTTAGTTTACTCTGACACTCTGGATCTGCGGTCGAGGAGAGTTTGGTGACGGACTCATGAAAATTTAAAGAGAGGAAATAAATCTGATGATTTCAGAGGAAAAAACAGAGGAAAGGACACGAGTCTGAGAAACGTTCATGAAACCTCAGAGACAGAGATTTACTGTGAGGATGAAGAGGAGACTTTGGTTCACTCTTCATCATCGTCATCATCATCATCATCATCATCACAGCAGCAGAAACATGAACTCAGTGTAAACAGGAACGGTCAGAATTAAAAACCACGAAACTACTGAGCGAGCCGAGAGAGAGAGAGAGAGAGAGAGAGAGAGAGAGACACTTCCTCTTTGGATTTAACCTTTATTAACCTTTATTATTTATTTATAGGAGAATAATCCAAAAAAGGATCTTTGTTTGAGGGCGGAGAGAAAAATAAAGATTTAAAAGAAAAGATTAAAGATAGAGATAAACGATATAGATTTAAAGAGATATTAAAAGAGATACTAAAGATAAAATGATATAGATTCAAAGAAAGATTTAAAGATAAAGATTTAAAAATAGAGATAAATCATGTAGATTTAAAGATAGAGATAAACAATAAAGATAAAAAATATAGAGATGAAAGATATAGATTTAAAGTTAGAGATAATTGATATAGATTAAATAATATGCATTTAAAAATACAGATGAATGATATCAGTTGAATAAAGATTAATAATAAAGATGAAATGATATAGATTTAAAAATAAAGATTAAAAGATAAAGAATTATGATATCGATAAATGTATAGATCATATGATTTGGATTTAAAGATATAGATAAATGGTATAGATTTACAGAAAAAGATTAAAGATATAATTAAAAGGATGTAGATTAATGATACAGATTAAATGATATAATCTAGATTCAATAATAATAATTACTTTATTCTTTATAGCCCTTTTCAAAACAGCGTTTTTCACGACATTAAAACAGACGAACAGACGGCAGCAGAGATGATTTTCTAAACAGTCACTAAGATTTAAAATTAAAGATGAAACTGTTTTTAAATAATTATGATAATAATAATAAAATAAAAGAAGTTTTGATTAAAAGTGTAAAAATAGAACTAAATGATACAGATTAAAAGATCAAGATTCAGTCATATAGATTTTATCATATAGATTAAATGATATGTATTAAGTGGTATAGATCCCGTCACGTAGAATAAATCATAAAGATTTAATCATAAAGATTAAATATGGATAAAATGATATGGAGATTAAAAAGATATAGAAATTTAAAGATATAGATCACGATCAAAGATTTAGATTCAATCACAGATTAAAAGATTTTCTATATTTTTAAAAAGTTTCTTCGTTTTTTCTTATTTTTACTTTTTCATCATTCATTCATTTTTTAAGTGTTTTTAACTTTTTACAAGTTTTCAGGTTGAGTTCAGTTTCTGATTTAGTTTCACAACAATAACAGTTGCCATGACAACATATGAGCTTTTATTTTGAAATGGTGTCTAAATTGTTTCCTGTTTTTGTGTGGGTGGAGAAACTGATGGTGTTTAGTCTGATGGAGTTTGATGATTTTACTGAAGTTGGTCTGTCTGCATCTAAAACAAGTTTGTACATGACAGTCCCCCGTCTCCCCCACCTCCCCCGCCTCCCTCGACAGGTGGACGGCGCGTGCGGCTGAGCGGCGGTGGTCGAGGTGGGCGGGCGATATTGATTCAGTGTCTACTGTACTTGAGAGAGAGGGAGGAGGCCGACGGCGCTTTTCTTACAAGGCTAACTCTGGACCAATCTCATCACCCGTCCTCTCAGGGGACTCCTGCTCTCCTCCCCCCTCTCTCTCCCCCTCTCTCTCCCCCTCTTCCTCCCACTCCTCTGTGTTTCCTTCGTTCCCTCTTTCATTTTGATTCTGTTAAAGGCAAAAAAAGAAAAACCAAGGTCGACAAAGGTTGTCCTCCCAGCAGTCAACAGAGGGAGGAGGAGGGGAACAGATAGCTCTCCAGAAGACAGGCCTGAGAGCCCAGATATCCCACAATGCAGCTGATAAGAAAGTGGGCCATATAACCTTTGGAGGGCGCGTGACGGGAATGCAGACGGCGGCCGGTGTGCCGAGGACGACGAGAAGGGAGGGAAGATGCTGCCGGAGCGAGTGCGCTCAAAAGATGGAGTCAAACGGGAGGAAAGAGGGAGGAGCAAGGAAGGAGGAAGGAGGGAAGTAGGGTGAAGGAGGGAGGGAGGAAGGAAGGAAGGAAGGAAGCAGGGTGATCAGAAAAAGAAGATGTAAGGTGTTTTTTTTTTAGTGTCGGACTGAAGAGAAGAACGATAACTGGACTGTCTTTGGTCTGAAGATCCGATCAGAGTTTCTGTTCAGATCCTGAAAACTCCTCGAACCCTCGACGCCTTGGTCCTGGTCCTCTGTCATAGATCTGGTCCTGGTCCTCTGTCATAGATCTGGACCTGTTCCTCTGTCATAGATCTGGACCACATAGAAGTCTGAAGAGAGTCTGAACTCAAGAACAAAGTCAAACAACAACAACAACAACAACAACATGGAGCTGTACAGAAAAAAGAGGACTTGAGCACAAACCAGTCTGACAGTAACTACATGTCAACATCACAACCAGGGGGGAGAAACATTTATATTCTGTGTCATTCATTTAGAAAGTTTGTCCACAGCTCCATAAGGAGGCGGGGTTTATGACCTATACTGCAGCCCGTCACCAGAGGGCGCTGTTCTCAGAGTCTAGATACAGTCTACTGTAATTACGCAGTATGACGTCACTATCTGTCCTCTAATAACTAAAGGGTTAACCAGTAAAGGTCAGAGGTCACTAACCCGAAACCATCTCAAGTCATGCTTTTATTTTGGTAACCATAGCGACCGCTCCGCTCTGATTGGTGTCGTTCTGAGATCAGCTGTCTGTGTGAACTTCACTTCCTGTTGAGATGTCATTGGCTGAGCTAGAGGATGGAGAGTGATGTCACAGTCGTGGGACTTTTACACACACACAAACACACACACATATGAACACACGTACACACACACACACTCACACAGAATCCTGAACTTTCTCTCAGCTGTTTTCTGTCACATGACGGCGCTCTCAGCTCCTCCCACTATCATCAGGCCTCTGTCTGTAGTATCTTCGTCTCGTTAGCGGTCCTGTTGTGTCGTCCTGGCGCCATAATTAGTCTGGTTAAATGAAGTCGATCCTCTCTGTTCTTTGCTCGGCATCACTGGGGATCATCTCCACGGCTAAACGACGCTAAATTCAGCTCTTCCTTCGCAGCGGCGGCGTGCGAACTCACATCATCCTGATTCGCTCCATCGTGGGAATAATTGACCCTGAACAATTATTACAATGAGCGCTCTCATTTTTCTTCCCCTCAGCGTCGCTCGGCCCGCTCGCTCCGACTCCCCCCTCCGCTCTAAAACTGAAGACTTGCTGAGACGAAGCAGAATCGCAGCAGAGGCACCTCACAAATGAAGTTCTCCCCTCCATCTCAGGAGACCCGCTCGCCATTTGTTTTCATTATTTTGACAAGGAGCTTTAAGGAGCTCCCTCTCCTCTGCAGTCTCCCCGGCTCTCTAACGCTCCTTTGGTGCCCCCGTTCCCCCCATTTATTCAGAGCTCATCCAGAGCGGAGCAGCCGAGTGTTTCAGTCACAGCTCCCTGCCTCAGAGGACGACCGAGGAGGGGGGGAGATCCTCACTGAGATAAATAGACACCTCCTCCTCTCCTCTACTCTGTCTGATTTCTCTGAGAGGTTCTGGATCAATCTGGACCGGGTCACATCAGCCTCATGGATCTGTTCCCAGCTTTGGTCACAAGAACAGTTTCAGATGGATCAACATGTTTCTGTCCTTCATGGACAGTCAGGATCTCCTCCTGCAAGCGCTCACACCCTTACTATAGAGAGGTGTGTTATTATCGTGTTATTATCATGTTATTATCATAATATTAGCCTGTTATTATTATGATATTCTCATCTAATTATCATGTTAATTATCCTGTTATTTTCATGTTATTATGTTATTATTCTATTATCATAATATTACCCTGTTATTATCATGTTATTTTCATGTTATTATCATGTTATTATCATGTTATGATCATGTTATTTTCATGTTATTATCATGTTATTATCATGTTATGATCATGTTATTATCATAATATTAGCCTGTTATTATCATGTTATTATCAGCAGACATGATCATTGGATAAAAAGCTGATGTATTAGTGTTGTGTATTCACTGACGTCTTACAAACACGTAACGCTGCATGGAAGTATTTTTAACTGTTGGAGACAGAGAGCAGACACTGAATATCTTTATTTTCAATATGTACTGGGCTGTGTGTGTGTGTGTGTGTGTGTGTGTGTAGATATATAGAGATAAATATATAGATATAGAGAGAATCCAATACTGTTGGTCTAGGTTTGGGGTAACAATAACAGTGACTGTCAGTTTTGACTCTGAAAATAAAATAGTGTTTATATGAGTATCTGACCGTCAAATACAGAAAGGTTAAAGATTATTCTCTGTTTTACTAAAATATAATCTTTAACTTCGCTGTAGTAAATTTGTTCATGTCGGAGAAAGCGTCTGCGGTGGACTCTGAGAGTCAAACAAAGCTGCAGAGATCCAGACGGGCTCTTGGTTCCGGCTCTGCAGTCAGGGACCAAAAAAACAGAAAGACTGATTTGTATATTCCTGCTCCAAAGACCTCCAACATCAACACTTCATCGAGGGTAAACAACTCGTCCTTCCTCTCGTCTGATTTCACCTCCACGCTCTCGGCTTCAAAGCTGGTCCTGATCCGTCTCTGGTTTCAGCCCGGCCTCGCTGCCACACTAACAGAACCAAACATGAACTCAGGGTGGGAGAGCAGGCTGTTCACACATCTGTGCGCTCTCCATGTGTGTGTTTGGGTGGAGGATGGTGTGGAGAGGGTTGGTGTTCAGAAAACAGAAACAGAGATAGAAACAGAGCGGTTCAGGAGTGACCCGGTCTGTAATCAGCGGGTTTGAGACGCCCT